GTTTACATTCCAATGTGGGGAAAGACAAATAAATGCAAAAGTATAATGTCAGTTAGTGATAGATACTATAAAAAAGGTAAAACAGGGATTATTCTAGACAGTGTGGATGAAAGCCCTGTCTTACTAAGCTTACATTTGAATCCTGCATAATCCTGCAATGAATCAATTGCATAATTTTAGGTAATGAGTGCTATATGAAAGTTAAGAGTGTGTGTGTGTGTGTGTGAAGAGTAAGGAGTTTAGTTTTTAGAAGGGGTTGTCTAAGAGATGAGACTAATGCAGGCAGGCTGGGCCTCAGGACCCAGAGAGGGACCAGCAGGACCAGCCCAGAGGGTCCTTGACTAGGTGCAGCAGGATAGAAATCAAATGTGAGCCAATAGGAAGTGCAGCAGAGTTTATTGAAGATATATAGAGAGTACAGGTATAGACAGAGTGTTCAGAAGACTGGGAAAGCAAAGGAAAAAGAATCTCTGGGACCTGGGGTTTTTATTAACAATTGTAGTCTGGTGCATGTGTCCTCTCAGGTATCTAGAACTGGTCTGAACAAGCACAGGATCTAGATGTTCATCATAAGTCACTTATTCTCTGGAGCCAGGAGATCTTGGTGTTGAAATGTCTAGTGTCATTCAAACAGGCACATGATGGCCTTGCCTGGTCATTCTTAACCAGTCATTCCTGAAGTGTTATCTCTAAAGAAATCATTAACTCCTTATCTTTTGCAAGGAGGACATACATTAAGGCATGTATGTGTGTTTGTGGATGCAGATCCTAGCAAAGAATAGAAAGTAGGAAAAGGAGCTAAAAAAACAATTTTCCCCCACCATGGGTTCCCTTTCTGTTTCCCTATGGCAGGATGACATCTTAGAAGATCTGAATAAAGGGATAAGGTTTGCCATGTGAACATCTAGCTCTGTGAAAAAGGTGAAGAAACAACAGTGTGAAGAACAGAGGGAGTATGTTTGACATATTTAAGGAAAACAAAGAAAATAGCCTGGCTGGAACAAGTGAGAAAATGGAAAGTAGGAAAAAGGTAGCCAGGCACAAAGTAACATAGGGCCCTAAGGGTGAAAATGATTGCTTTGAATAATAGTGAAAGGGAATAGAAGGGAAAGGAGAAGAAATGGGCAGAAAGGGAGACAGAACATAAAGACTCCTAACTTTGGGAAACGAACTAGGGGTGGTGGAAGGGGGGGGCGGTGGGAGTGAATGGGTGATGGGCACTGAGGGGGGCACCTGGGGGGGCCCGGGATGAGCACTGGGTGTTATTCTGTATGTTGGCAAATTGAACACCAATAAAAAATAAATTTATTATTAAAAAAAAAGAAAATGATTGCTTTGTATGCTGAGGACAGAGAAAGTCCTTTACACTGGTTTATGTATTAAAAGGATCACTCTGGCTCATTTACCAAGAATAGAATATAAGAAGGCAGGATTCAAAAGTCTTGGATTAGGCTGGTAGAGGAATTTGGTAAGACTAGAAGCAAGGGGAGAATGGACTAGGAATGATGTCCAATGCCTTTTTTTTTTTTTTATTTATGATAGTCACACACAGAGAGAGAGAGGCAGAGACACAGGCAGAGGGAGAAGCAGGCTCCATGCACCGGGAGCCCGATGTGGGATTCGATCCCGGGTCTCCAGGATCGCGCCCCGGGCCAAAGGCAGGCGCCAAACCGCTGCGCCACCCAGGGATCCGTCCAATGCCTTTCTAATGAATGCTAGAGTAACAAAATGAAAAAAAAGAAAACGATTTCTTAAGTCACTATAGAGGCTGAGTAACTTGGAAACCAAATATGGATGGCAGTATGGTTGGAGTGGATGGGCAGCTCGGAGGCTCTGAAGATTGGTAATGAGGAGGATGACGGTGTCATCAACCAGATCCAAGACCTGACCTTTACTGCTCGAGGCCACCTACCTTCGTCCTACATTTTATTAAGCTCTTCCTTCTTCCTTATCTCTTAACTGGCAAATGGAAAGCAAAACCACCCCTCAAACACCAGCAACTGCCCTGACAAGACCTCCCGTCAGCCCAGACCACTCAGACCAGTTTGAGCATGAGTCCCCGACTTGCACCTGTGCAGATGGGCCATGGGGTGACCTTTAAAATGACCAGTAATTATCTTTATCTCATTATAATACTAAACCTCTGCCCTAGGAGGAGCACAAGCCTCATTTACATAATATACAATGCATGTATAGGCATGTTTCCTCAAGATGCATGTGTGACCCTATGCCCACATCTACATACAATGACAAGGATCCCCTTTTAAAATAATCCTCCTGACCCTGAATAAAAGGAACCCATCAGACTTTGCTCAGAGAGTGAGGGCTTCAGAAGTTATTTCTTACAATCTCTGTATTTACTGAAAATAGTTTCCTATATGCAACAACTCATTTGGTAATTTCCATCTGTGACTCAGCAAGGAGTGAACTCACATTGGTTCGGTTACAGTGGTACTGTTAATTACAATAAAATAAAATAAGTTTGGAATACAATGGGACAGATGATGAATTTTGATTTTGTCGAGTGTATCTTGATATAGATGTTTAGTTGATATAGACCGTAAATTTATTCTTGTCTCCAGACAGATAAAAGTGGAGGTCACTTTCACAAGTCTCAAGGAAAAAGGAAAGGGCTAGTCTTTAGGTTGCAATTACTATGGGCACAAACATTCACATAATAGTGGGAAATCAAAAGCTTGGGAGATAGAGAAGAGAGATGTATTTGTAAATTCCTTTTAAAAAGGCGGCATAGCATAGTAAATGATAGTGGCTATTGAGCAAGGCTGCCAAAGTTCAAATTCCTGGTATACCATTTTCTGGTTGTGTGACATTGAGTTAGATCTCCTGGCCTAAGTTTCTTTTTATGAAAATTGTTACACTAGGATTTATCTGATAAGGGTGTTATGGAGCAGGAGTTCTTAATCTGGAGTCCATGAAATTTGGGGGGATCTGGGAAACTTGAATTGACAGAAATTTAACCCTATTTCTATTAACCGCTCATGAAGCTCTTTTTTTTTTTTCCCCCAATTATAAAGCAGAAAGCAAAGCATGGTAGTATTAGCAGTACATATGGTTTTGTTTTCTGTAGAAATTACAAATAATTTCATGTTATAATATAGCAGTAGTAGATAGTTTAAAATACTGTTTATTATCATTGCTGTTTCAATATTATCATACTTATTAGAATTGCTGTTAGATACATTGCTAGGTTTCATATGATTGCAGAATTTATTTACAACCCTTATGCTACTTAATTGTTCAAGGATCCTATAATTCTGTGCTTCTTGATCAATCATAATTACATTGTAAAGTCTGAATGTTTATTTTTTTTAAGATTTAATTTATTTGAGGGAGAGAAAGAGTAGGGAAGACAGGTAGAGGAAGAGAGAGAGGGAAACAGACCCTCTGCTGAGCAGAGAGCCTGACACAGGGGAGATCCTGACCTCAGCTGAAAGCAGACTTTAACTAAGCCACCCAGGCGCCCCAAAGTCTGGATGCTTTTAGGTTGGCTTTTTTTTTTTTTTTAGAGATTTTATTTTTATTCATGAGACACACACACAGAGAAGCAGAGACACAGGCAGAGGTAGAAGTAGGTGTCCCTCCCCCACCACCACGCAGGAAGCCTGATGAGAGACTCCTCCCAGGATATATATCAGGACCAGAGCAGAAGGCAGGCCCTCAACCACTGAGCCATCCAGGTTGGTTCTTACATCTCCCTTTGCTTTCTAGCATTCCCCAAATACAAATGTTTGTTGAGCAGTTGAAAGGAGGTGACTTGTCTTAATTTTGATAATGGCATTTCATGCGATGCCTTTGTATCTTATGAATTTAACTTTTTTGCAGTTAGAAATACTGTTTTAAGACTGGGCCAATTAGAGTTCATTAGACTATCAGAGGTTTTCATGTTACAGGAGAATTCTTGAGGGAGAATCAATGCTACTAGAACAGTAATGGAGGATGGTTGGAAGAAAGGCAGGCAGGGACAAGGGGCCCTGTCCTACGAGGAAACCACCCTTCAAAGCCTTTTCTGCCACGTGCAAGGAGCCCTCCACCCTTTCCCACGGGATAGGTAGATGACAAAAACTTGATTGGACGAAGGGGGCGTGGAGGGTTAATCAGATTAAAAGAGCCCTCCAACAAGCCCATAACCCCCCCCCCCGATCTGAACCCCAAATTGGCAACCCTCTTGGCTCCCCTCCCTTTCAGAGCTTTGTACTGTCGACAATTCAATAAACTTCGCTTTGCTCCCTCACCTCTTCATCCTTCCGCTCAGCCAGACCAAGAACCCAAAACTGAAGGGAAAGAAATCCCCCATAACACTCCCTGGCCCCTATCAGATGTTCAGTAAACCGTCTGCTTCTATTGTTCTTAAAATGTCCAAAGACCAGGAATCCAGTTGCGGCCTTTTCATTTTTGCATTCCCAAGCGTGGAGTGGGCGGGTGGGGCTCGGCCCTCGGGCAGAGGATCCACTCCTCGGAGGCTGAATGAATGGGGGGTGGGGGGGGGCGTGGCCTGAGGGCGGCTCCGCAGGCCCCTCCACCGAGACTGCACCGAGCAGCTGTGAAGTTGCAGGCGGCTACTACGCATGCACCGGGTTATGTCCTGTGCATATTATGTTAGAGGCGTGGGAGGCTCCGTACGTGAGCCACAGCTGGGGTTCCAAAAACGTCCCAACGGCAACAACAGTGATTGCCCCTCGGCCCGAGGGGCCAGGGGTTTACGAATTCCTTAGCAGGCTCCTGCATCATTGCAGAAGGCGATCAGGTCCATCTGGGGCTCCAGGTGAGCAGGAGCTTGCTCTGGCTGCTCTTCAGAGGCCCCCGCACACTCCCGGGACCTCGCGCGGGGCTCGCAGCCGCAGCGCACCCCGCGGGCCGGCGAGCGGAGCCGCCGCGCGCTCGCGGCCCGCGCCCTCGCCACGCCCACTTCCTGCCCCATCCCGGGCTTCCCGGGTCCCCGCTCCTGCTGAACCGGATGCGCCGTCAGTTTCCTCCTCCGCGTCCTCCGCGGCCTCCGCTTCCCCGGCGAAGCCGCAGGCACCCGCGAGGGCACAGGCAGGGGCGCCCGGCGGCTGTTCTGGCAGGAGTCGGACGCCGGTAGGAGCTGGGCGCGCACGGTTACCGAGCGTGGAGGAGACACTGCCCTGCGGCGATGGGTGCCAGGGGCGCTCCTTCACGCCGGAGGCAGGCGGGGCGGCGGCTGCGCTACCTGCCCACCGGGAGCTTTCCCTTTCTCCTCCTCCTGCTGCTTCTCTGCATCCAGCTCGGGGGAGGACAGAAGAAGAAAGAGGTAGAATGAATCCCTCGGCCTTGCAAGTGGGCCGGGGAGGCCGGGGCTGGCTGGGGCGGGCCGGGCGGGCCGGGGCGGCGGCGTTGCTAGGCAGCGGGGCCGCGTTGCTAGGCAACCGGGGCGTGGGCGGCGGCGGCGGAGGCGCTGCGGTGAGCGAGCGCGGAGCTGCTGGGAGGCCCGTGGGCCTGGCGGTCGCGGCCGTGGGGTTAGCCTGGCGTTTTCTCAAAAGCAGTAAAGCAGCCCCTTTCCACTGTGCGCCTGAGCCTCGCACACCTTGCAGGCTCACGGCGGCTTTGACCCTCAGAGGCCGAGCTTTGTGCTCTTGAGTCCCTGAAAGGGGTGTGGTGGGTGCAAAAGTAACCTTTCCGGAGTACGTGGGAACCTGCGGAGGACTCTTCGGTTTTTACGTTCAGGTTTCCAGTTCCTTTCGTTACTCGTGTCAGGAAGCAGGGCAGCGTAGTGGAAGTGTGTTTTTTTCGTAGTTTATATTCATAATGACACATTTCTAACATTTTTAAAGCTGTAGGTTTTTCTTTATGTTGAACTCCTAATGGTGAGAATGAACTCACATGGATTAGATTTGTTTGTGAAGCTCACCTGATGTCAATCTTAGTCCTCTAAGAACTTTGATAAGAGGGTTGACGTCACTATGTTTAAGACAGAGTTATTTGTGATTTTAAGTTCTCCGCCTTTGCCTTGGATACTCAGTCTAGCAGCATCAGGAAAACAAAATTAGTGTGGAAATGGGAGTAGTGTTTGTAATCGTACAGTATTTTAGTGAGAGTATTGGCTTTCAATCAAGACAGTTCCCCCCCCCCCTCCCTGGTGAAGTATTATACACCCGTGACCCAAAATCTAATTCGAGTTTAAAATAGTACAAGTTTCTTGATAGCTGGGTAGAGAGTGAAAAAACAGCTTCATGCTCAAGATGATGTTTCTTTTTACTTTTTGTCTGAAACTTCTCTGAACTCAATAGTAACTTCTTCCCTTAAGCTTTTTAATTTTAAGGTGAAAGTAGGCCATATGAAATTCTTTGTAGAGGTCTGGTAAGAGGTTTAGAGAAGGACTGTTAAAACTGTGTTTACAAATACATCTAATATACATTTTAATACATACATATAATTTAAAGGTATATTTTTTAGCGTTTGGTATTTATATACCACATTCCAGGAGTTTTAGGTGTCCAAAGTAGTTCTTGAAGTCAAGAGAAGAGATTAAAAAAAATTTTTTTTTGTCCCTCCCCCTGCAGATTGCCACATTGGAGGGCAGTAAAAAATGGTGAGGAATTCCATGGAAGTTCTGATGTTTTACTTTTTTTAAGATCACTGTTGGGGCACTTTGGTAGCTCAGACCCTTGAGCATCCCACTTTTGATTTCAGTTCAGGTCATGATCTCAGGGTCTTGAGAGGAGCCTTGCCTGCTTAGTGCTCAACAGGGAGTTTGCTTGAGATTCTCTCCAGCCTTTTCTCTCTGCCTCTTCCCCCACCTTCCATCATGTTGATATAGTTTCTCTCTAAAAATAAATCTTAAAAAAAATAAAAAGGAAAGAAAATCACTGTGGTCACAGTAACTTTCAGTTGGAAGGAGAATCTGAAAAGCATACATCTTCAAGGCATCTTAGTATCCAATTATACACTACTTTTAACAGGTGAAAACATTTGTTAATTTAGTATAGTTAAAATGACATAGGTTCCATTAACATTTTTTATAAAAGATGTTTTAAATGAAAAATTAGGGAGAAAATTGTTAAGGAATAGAAAAAGGATGTCTTCCAGAACTGCTTTTATTAAACTGGAGCGTCTATTACTACTATGTGGTAGTATTGCAGAATATACATATTTAAGGAAAAGAGCAAAATAACAAATATTTGAAGTTTTAATGCGTTTACAAATATTTGAAGTTAATGAGTTTACTCGATGAGCACACATGTGGAATGTAGTATGTGAGAATAAACTTCAAATATTTGAAGTTTTAATGAGTTTACAAATATTTGAAGTTTTAATGAGTTTACTCAATGAGCACACATGTGGAATGTAGTATGCGAGAATAAACTCACTTAAGTTATACAAATTTATTTGTGAAGTTCAGATCACTTGATTTCAGTCTTAGTCCTTGATTTGGAGGGCTGTGGTGTCTTTCAATACTGGAAGAAGAACATTTTTATTAGAAATATTGAAAAGTGGTTGGTCATCATTATGGTACATTTCTAGGGGTATTCCAGGGTTGTTTTGAACATGTTACTTCATTCTTTGCTGAGTTTAGATCCTGATGCCCAATACAAAATTTGACACCATTGAACCAGCAAGTACAGCAGTTGGAACTTAGTTTTTACTACAATAAATATTACTGTCATAAGTCCTAGAGGAGTTGACTTGGCATGAGTAGTGTATCCCTTCATACGGAGGAGGCCACACTGGCATCCTTAGTTGAATGTGGAACCAAGATTGGATATTAGCTGCTTTTAAGGAATAGTTACCATCATAGGTTTTTGGATCAGATGGTCCAGTTACAACTCAGTCACTATTTAATTATATAAGATGCAAACCACTTCCCTGAGTTTTGACATCTTTGTTTTAAAACACAGGTTTAATACCTACATCTTAGAGTTGTCAGTGGGATTAAATAAGACTGTATATAAACTACTTAGTGCAGTGCTTTGAACATAAGCAGATGATCAATGCTGGTAGCTATTATCATGTGTTCTTTAAATGAGATCAGCAGACATGATGAGATCCTAAAATGTGATAAAATACTTGTCAAATTTTTTTTTTTGCTAAAGAAACTGATTTTATCATTATTGTAAAATATTTACTAGAATAAATTGCCTATTATGAAATACTGAGTTCCAGACTTTTAACATTGTTTTAGAACTTCCCAGGAGGAGACTTTTGCAATGTGGAAGAATTGGTGGTATTCATGGGTGTGTGTGTCTATGTATATATTTTTGTATCTATTTCTTCGTAAAGACATTTAATTTATTAAAAAATAATTTTGTTATATTCTCTAAGAATATAGTGAAAAGCAATAGATACATGAATAGGAAAAGAATAAAGTCACTTTCCTTAATTACATTGAATACAGTCACTACACTAATTTTTGAATCCTCATGTAAAGTGATATGAATTTGTGAGTGACTCTTGGTTTCTTGGTGGTATATCATTTACATATGTAGTACCTTTTTTTTTTTTAAATTTTAACAGCTGTATTTTTTATGTTAACATCAGTTAATCAACTTCATTTAGAATTGTTTTGGTGGGATCCCTGGGTGGCGCAGCGGTTTGGTGCCTGCCTTTGGCCCAGGGCGCGATTCTGGAGACCCCGGATCGAATCCCACGTCGGGCTCCCGGTGCATGGAGCCTGCTTCTCCCTCTGCCTGTGTCTCTGCCTCTCTCTCTCTCTGTGACTATCATAAATAAATAAAAATTAAAAAAAAAGAATTGTTTTGGTATGTAATAACACCTAATAATATAAAAGGAGCACAAATTCTGTAATTTCCAGTGGATTTATTAACTTAGACATCAAATGAAGCTATTGTAATAATTTATCTTTTAAATTAATAGGTTATGACATGTAGGTGACAATGAATATCGCAATTATGGAAAAATTGAGCGGCTCATATTTTTGTGAAGTATTATGATTGCCCAAGTGAGATTTCTCAGTTGCCTCTGACATAATTTATGTATGTCACTAACGTTTTTAAGCACATTTTATACTGAGATGTGTATATCCAGTTATTTTTTTAGTGGCGTGGCTGTGAAATACTTTACTATCTTAGCAAATGAAGAGGGAGAGTATGGAAGTAAGCAGTGGATTTTACCTTTAAGGGAAGAACTTAAGTTGGAGAATAAGTTTGTAAATATATGAGCACAACTTTAAGAAATGCATAGTAATTATGTATTAATGTGTATACACATAGACCACAGATTATGGGATGTAGGTAGTTTCATCTAGGCTAGATTTTTTTTTTTTTTTTTTTTGGACTCTAGGCTAGATTTTGTGTGCAGTAACTCCTTGGTGAGTAACTCGGAGTAACAGGTCTTACTCAGAATGGCCAGAACTGCTTGTCAAGTACTGTGAAGGTTCAGCTGCGACAGTTTCACATAGGGCAGATTGCATGGAACTCCTGGGTCACAGGTGGACAGCTTATTACTCACAGCAGCCGATTTGCCAGAGTATCAGCATTTGTGCTGATGACGCAGGCTAAATGACCCCTACAGGTGTAGGCAGTTCTGTGGCAGGAGAAGAACCTTGAGCTTAAGGAGCTGCTCATCCTTTATAAGGGGCCAGAAGCTTTTTTGACCTTTGACCCAGAGGGTGACATGAACTGGAAAGGAAACAAACCTGCTCTTTATTCTGGAAGGACACTGTCTTCCAAGCCTTGTGTGCTATATATATCCTTGAAAAGGGGTCCAGAACAAAAGTCAGTTTGCTTGCATGTTATGTAAAAATCTATGAAGAATTATCTCCTTAAGTAAGAGATAAAGAGCAACTTTGTCGAAAGATAATTTTGGGATATTTTCCTTCATGTACCTACACCATCAGTACATTCAGTCCCATATATGGGAAAGAGCAGAATGTGTAACCTGAGCCACAGATTTATAGTTGTTAAATCTTCTGCCACATTTACTTTTGGTTTTTTCAATATGCAGTGAGTTTGGATGAGTGTGATCTGTATGCCAGTGACTGACAGTTACTTTGGTGGTCTCCAGGGTTTATTTGGCAAGTCAGACTATCTTACAATTGCATTTTTCCATAAGATTCCCTCCTGGAGCATCATGATAATTCTACCAAGATAGAAAATTTACCTTTGGCTTAGTATGGGAGTGGCTGTTGATCCCCTGCTAGAGAACAGATAGATGAGGAACAAATGTATATGTTATATAACATTGAGTACGTGAGAGTGTGTGCGTGTGTTCTTCATGCAATGAGGGGACCAAATACTGTTTATATAAGTATCTACTTTTTATTTTACCTATTGGGCAAGTTTTCTGCAGCTTCTC